TCTTGTGCTAATTTTGATGACATGGTATCAGTTGCACTTACTGTATACTACAGTACTACTGATAAAGATAGGTTTAGTTAATATCAGTTTGACGGTACTCTAAGTTCGATAGTGACTATTAAACAGTATGTACTGTCTTTAGCTGTACAGTAGAAAACAGCCCATGCTTCACTATCTCGTGGTCTCTATCTCAATCCCTCTCGTAGTAGTACATGGTTAAAATAAAGCCTATTTTGATCCTGAATCATCTCCGCATCGTGTTGATCGTAGTGGCATTTAGTTTTCAATGTACTGCATGACCGCATACTGTAGATGGCACTAATGATAGGATAATAAAGTAAATAAATATTTTTAATTTAGTAATGACTATGTGTTTGGCGTGATGTTCAACGATATATCTTAGAGTCCTAACATATCGAAATCACATAACTATTTAGAAATGTCATCTCTTAAATTTTGAATGTTTTAAATACTCGTTGAATAAGTATCACATCAACTACTTGTTCAATGCTTAAATTCAATTCAACTAGCCATTTTAGTGCAAAGAACAATTATATTATATAATGAGTTATAAATGAATAACATAATATGATCTGGTTTGGGAAATTCAATTAAATACTTCAAGTTGCTTAAAGACCTGTTATATCCTTGATTTATTTATCCGATAAGGTTTAATTGGCACGACCTTAGCTTGGTTTGCGTTATCATTTATGTACGAGGGTATAAAGCTGTTAAAAGAATATTACGTACTTAAACGCCAACGCCTACAGAAGTTGCATAGAGTTCATAGTTATTCCCCTATAGTGGCGGATAATACTATTAGAAGACCTAAACGGTAAGATCGAAAAGTAGCTTAATCGCAAAACATCAAATACTAATTCATTCTTCTAAGCATACTGCAATATTCAGTGTATACATACATTAATATCCAGTTAATTGAATACTTATTCTATTGCTGGTGTACACCTGCATAAAATTTATTATCATGCCTTCGAGTCTCAGATAATAGGCGTAAATTATGCGGTAATTTCATACCATGTCTTTTTTACACAATTGACAATATTTCAGCAATCAATAGCTG